GGCTAGTCTTGAATTCCTGAGCTCAGGCAATTTGCCTGGGATTATAGGTGTGCTGTGTGATCTGCTGGGATTACAGGTGTGAGCCACCATGTCTGGTCTCTTGCTCTTTCTTTATAGAGTGATGTTTTAATATTCAGACTTTAACATGAAAAAGTTCAGATGGAAGAAATTAACACTAACAATTTGTTTTTACTTTTTCATTAGGTAAGATGCAGTTATCAGCTGATGGCCCATAAAGCATCTGAAACTGAGTAGCAAATCTGCCTTTTTTTTAAACTTTATGTTTAGAGCTCTCTTGTATCTTTTTTTTTTTTTTTTTTTTTTTTTTTTTTTTTTAAGACAGGGTCTTATTTACCCAGGCTGGAGTACAGTGGCATGATCTTGGTTCAATACAACCTCTACTTCCTAGGCTCAGGCCATTCTTGTGCCTCCAGCGTCCCGAGTACCTGGGATTACAGGTGCGCGCCACCCCACTCAGCTAATTTTTTTTTTTTTTTGAGACAGAGTCTCATTCTTGTCCCCCAGGCTGGAGTGCAGTGGTGTGCTCTCACCTCACTGCAACCTCTGCCTCCTGAATTCAAGCAATATTCCTGCCTCAGCCTCCCGAGTACCTGGGATTACAGGAATGTGCCACCAAGCCTGGTTAATTTTGTATTTTTAGTAGAGATGGGGTTTCACCGTGCTGGCCAGCCTGGTCTTGAACTCTCAACCTCAGGTGATGTGCCCACCTCGGCCTCCCAAAGTGCTGGGATTGCAGGTGTGAGCCACTGTGCCAGCCTAATGTTTGTATTTTTAGTGAGATAGGGTTTTGCTACGTTGGGCAGTTTTATCTCGAACTAGGTTCAAATGATCTGCCTGCCTCAGCCTCCCAGAGTGCCGAGATTCCGGCATGAGCTGCTGTGCCCAGCCACTCATGCATCTTAGGGTTGTCTGCCTTGGCACTGTAGCCCTACCACGTGGGCACCTTTTAGTATATTTACTGCATTTACATCACGCACATAGTCAAAAAACTCCCCACCCCAAAATGTTGTGGTGCAAAATTATGGGCTGTCGCCATTATTTAAGTATACAGAGACTTCTTAAACTATGTCATACCATCCCTGACCCTGCAAAAGAAATTCTCTTTCCCGGGTTCCCTGGGATTTTAATTGCACGCTGTTGTTGTTGAGCAGCTTTAGCTTTTCTTTGGATGTGAATATAGAGATTTCTTTTCAGATAAATTGTTTTTTGGACTAGAATACCAAGCTCTTGTCTTCTGTAAGCTATATAAATAGTACCAAAATCACTAACATATTAAACATTTTATTCTTTAATCTGATTAAGAGCCACTAAAATAATATAGCCTATATCTTTGATTAAATTTTAATTAAAGTGCAGAAAGGAAGTACAATTTGAGTGCCTCTGTTACAGTGTTTGACGCTATGTAAGAGGTGCTTTTGTGCAACTTCCAGAAAGGATGCATCTCCTTTTATCAGCTGAGACTGTCAGGTTTCTGCCTATAATTTATTGCTTTTAGAGCGTTATGGATTAGAAGATTATCAGATTCTTATGAATTTTTCTAGCAATTCTTAATTCCAGTTTCTTTCTTTCTTTTTTTTTTGAAATAGAGTCTCGTTTGTCACCCAGGCTCTGCAATAGCACCACCATAGCTCATTGCAGCCCTGAACTCTTGGGCTCAAGGGATCCTCCTGCCTTAGCCTCCTGGGTAGCTAGGACTGCAGGCCTGGCTAATATTTAGAATTATTATAGAGACAGGGTCTTCCTGTGTTGCTCAGGCTGCTCTTGGACTCCTGTCCTCAAGGAATTCTCTTATGCCAGCCTCATGAGTCACCAAGATTATAGGCATGAACCACCACACCTGGCGTATTCTGTTTTTATACAATTTAGGATATTTGTATGGTTTTATTGAATCATGACTTTAACATGAAAAACTATAAGAGTATTTATATGACTTCTTTTTGTAAAAGTCCTATGTTTTCAAAACAAATTGTTTATCATAATGTTTATATTTTTAAAAACAAGTTATTTATTTAATTTAGAAGATGCTACTAGAAAAATACTTTTTTGGCCAGGCTCAGACCTGTCATCCCAGCGCTTTGAGAGGCTGAGGCGGGTGGATCATGAGGTCAGGAGTTCGAGACCCGTGTGACCAACATGGTGAAACTCCATCTCTACTAAAAATACAAAGATTAGCTGGTTGCGGTGGTGTGTGCCTGTAATCCTAGCTACTCAGGAGGCTGAGGCAGGAGAATCGCTTGAGCCTGGGAGGCGGAGGGTGCAGTGAGCTGAGATCGTGCCACTGCACTCCAGCCTGGGCAAGAGCAGGAGACTCTGTCTCAAAAAAAAAAAGAAAGAAAAATATTTTTGAAATTTTGTGAGTTATATTTTGCTACAACAGGTGCACATTTTTGTGAAGTTCATGTGAAGATGTAATAATTTACTTCTTTCTTTTCTTAAGAGACGAGAGTGTGGTCTGTTGCCCAGACTAGAGAGCAGTGACATAATCATGGCGCACTGCAGTCATGCACTCCAGGGCTCAAGCAATCTTCCTGCCTCTACCTCCTGGGGAGCTGGGACTACAGGTGTGAGCCACCATGCCCAGCTGATTTAGAAAAATTTTTGTAGGCTGGGCATGGTGGCTAACGCCTGTAAATCTAGCACTGTGGGAGGCTGAGGTAGGTGGATTGCTTGGGCCCAGGAGTTCCAGACCAACCTGGGCAACATGGCGAGACCCTGTCTCTACAAAAAAATATAAATATTAGCTGAGCAAGGGGTTGTGTGCGTGTAGTCCCACTTACTTGGGAGGCTGAGGTGGGAGGATCACCTGAGCCTTTGTAGAGACATAGTGTCTTGCTCTGTTGTCCAGCTGTCTTGAAGTCCTAGTCTTAAGTGATCCTCCTGCCTTGGCCTCTCAGAGTGCTGGTATTACAGGTGTGAGTCACCATGCCTGGCCTAATTTACTTCTTTAGGATGCTTTAAAAAGCAAATCTTTTTCTAATTGGTTAGGAGTAAAGTTTTGTTGTTTTGAGTCAAATATAAAATATATTAAGCCAATATACAGTAGTATTTGTAAACTTATTTATGTATTAAGAGTTGACAGTTACGTTATTGGAGGAGGAAAATGTCCATTTGGATACCGAATCTTTTTCCCACTTGTAATAGGATAACATACCAAGGAAGTGAGAAAAACACTGTCTACCTTTGAGAGTAAGAGCTGGCTGGGCACGGTGGCTCATGTTTGTAATCCCAGCTCTTTGGGAGGCTGAGGCAGGAGGATCACTTGAGCCCAGGAGTTCAAGACCAGCTTGAGCAACATAAGGAGACCCTATCTCTACAAAAAAAAAGAAAAAAAAAAAATAGCCAGGTATTGTGGTGCACACCTGTGGTCCCAGTTACTGGGGAGGCTGAGCTGGGAGGATTGCTTGAGCCCAGGAGTTGGAGGTTGCAGTGAGCTGTGATCATGCCACTGCACTCCAGCCTGGGCAGCAGAACAAGACCTTGTCTCTAAAAATAAAAAAATAAAAAAAAAATTGAAAAAAGTAAGAATGTTCTAGAAACACATCAAGGACACTTAACCCAAAATGCAGAGGCTGAAGGCAAGAAGGCTTCCTTGAGAAACCAGTTATTGAGATGAGCCTAAAAGAGAGTAGAAGTTGTGAGGCAGACAGAGCCTGAGACTGGGGGGACTCCGGCATTGTAGCAAGGTTGTCTGTGGAGGGCAAGGGCACAGGGGTAGGAGGGGAGGCCAGGGCCATGGTAGGAGGGGCTCGCTGTGGACAGCATGCCTCTCCCTAGGACTGAATTGAGGATCCTGTGAAAGGTTTGCAGTGGGGGAGGACACAGACTGATTGGTGCTTTGGGAAGGACGCTCTGACTGCGTGTGTAGAAGCAATGAGGGGAGAGGGGGTGCAGAATGGGGAGTCAGAGACTAGTGGAGGCTGCTGAGGTGACTGCTGTTTCGGTGGGTGGAGCAGCTCAGATGCTGCATTTTTTTATGGGGAGGGTCTGTTAGCAGGGGCCCACCTGACACTGCCTTGTGGCCAGGAAGGAGACAAATGAAGGCTAGCGTTTCTTCTCTCTTGAGTCTGCCTCACATCATGATCTTTGTTCAAAACGTATTCAGAATGGGAAAGCTAAATTTCAGAGTAACAAAGAGTTTGTTGAACTTGTTAGAGTTAGACATGATCGGATTTAATATTATTTTGAGATCTGTCTTTCATTTACTTTCATTTCAATAACTTTCATTTACTTAGAAACTTTACATCTTCTGGGTTTCCAGAGGAGTTTTATTCTTGATAAGATTGCTTTCTTGAGGGAAAGTTTAATCCAGTTGCAGTTTTTCTTTTAAAAAATCATCTATCTTAAGAAATATAATATTTAAAGAAGTATTTAAAAATGATAAAAGGAAGATTTTGGTACAGTCTCTTTGGTTTCTGAGTGGATAGGGACTCGAAGCCTTTGCATTATTTAATAGCATTTCCTTGCCAGTGTTTAAAGAGCTATTAGTGAGCACCCAGGCCCTGCCCTCTGAAAGCATTCCTAAAGCTTGCTCTGAAATAGTGAAGATAAACATCTTGTTTGCTGAGGCCAAATGGTTGGCTAATAAGAGGATTTCTCTTTATAAAATAATAATAGGTATGATATTAAGAAGGGGAAGAGAATTGATTTTTTTAAAAAGCTGAAACATAAACTTCCTTATGCTAATGTTACAACTGGAAAATCTAAAAGAAAAATCCGGCTCTAACATTGTCTACGTGAAATACGTGGTAGAAGTCTGTCTACCTGTCATCTTTAAAAAAAATCTCTTGGCAGAACATTTTTGAAGTCAAGATCACTCCAGCTCACATAAATAGCAATGATTACTGCTGGCTTTAAATTAGAGAGCTTACAGTTGCCTTCTTAGCAATTTTAGTAGTGAGAGAATTGCATAGTGCTTAGTCAGAGTGCCTTTTGGGTGGGAGTGGTACAGTAATAATGACACACTTTCATTTACTTTGTAGACATTACAAGAAGCGGTGCCAAGGCCGAATGCGGAAGCACGTGGGAGACCTGTGCCTGCAGGCGGGGATGCTGCAGGACTCGCTGGTGCATTACCACATGTCGGTGGAGCTGCTCCGCTCTGTCAATGACTTTCTGTGGCTTGGAGGTAAGATAAGCTGATGAAGGCGATCTGATGTGTAATTGTTTCAACCGTTACTTGAAATGAGAGGAAACTGAAAAAGGAAGTCCCCAAAAAGGAGGGATGAGGGAGGAAAAGCAGCCAGCCTTTGCTGGTTGCCATGAGCAGTGGCCTGGGGTGCTTCCCTGCCGTATCTGCTGCCCTCCGCCCGTCCTGCTGTGCGTCCTCTGAAGAACACCCTGCCCACGCTGTCCCGCTTCCTCTGTTCTTAGCGCACCTTGCCCTCTGCTTTGGATGCCGTTCCCATGATCTCCACCTCATAGGCTCATCCCTCAAAACCTCTTCCATGTGTCACATGATGAATGGATAAACAAAATGCAGTATGGGAATACAGCGGAATATCATTCAGTCATGAAAAAGAAGGAAATTGTGACACCAGTGCAGCATGGGTGAATCTTGACAACTCTGCTAAGTGAAAGAAGCCAGACAGAAAAGGCCACAGATTGTTGTGATTCTGTTTATATGAAGTGGCTAGAATAGGCACATCTATAGAAGCAAATCTATAGGCAAATCCGTAGAAGGTTTTAGGGGCTGGGAAGTGGCTGTTAATGGGCATGAGGTTTCTTTTTGGGGTGAGGAGCGTGTTCCAGAATCAGATAGTGGTGATGGTTGCAGTTATGAATATTCCAAAAACTGCTGAATTATTTAAGTGGGTGAAGTATATGGTATGTGAACTCTGTGTCAATATTAAAAATTAAAAAAAGGGCAGGAGGAAAACATACTTCAAAGAACAGCCGGCTCTGATCCCCCTGGGCAGTCGACTGAGCAGGCACTGTGTCTGACCTGTTGCTGACCCTTTGTGCTGGAATTGGAGGTCTGTGTGTGGTCTTCCCTTGGGGACTGCGTCTCCTGGAGGTGGGCCTGGGAGGTCTGGACCGGCTGTATCCACTGCCTGACAGGTTGCAATGTTCTCTAAATGCTTGTTAAATGAACGATGTGTGAAGAAGAAATGAAACAGGGTTCTTTTGTTGAAGTTAACAGTATAGCAAGGACACCTGTCAGCCACTTATGAGAATACAAGTCGGAATGAAGTCATGAGGTGAGTTCTATAACAGAGGTTTAATGAGGTGCTGTAGAATACATTAAATGTAAGAAATTCTTTCTTTTTTTGGGATGGAGTCTCTCTCTGTCATCCAGGCTGGAGTGCAGTGGCGTGATCTTGGCTCACTGCGACCTCTGCCTCCTGGGTTCAAGTGATTCTCCTGCCTCAGTCTTCTGAGTAGCTGGGAATACAGGCGTGCACTACCATGCCTGGCTAATTTTTGTATTTTTAGTAGAGACGGGGTTTTACCATGTCGGCTGGGCTGCTCTTGAACTCCTGACCCCAGGTGATCTGCCTGCCTTGGCCTCCCAAAGTGCTGGGATTACAGGCATGAGCCACTGTGCCCAGCCAAATATAAGAAATACTTTAAATGGCCAGGTATGGTGGCTCACATCTGTAATCCCAACACTTCTACCAAAAAATAAAAAAAAAATAAAAAAAATTAAAAAACCTCAGTTCACCTCATTTAAAAAAAAGAAAAGAAAAAGAAAAAAAAAATAAAAAACATTAGCTGGGTAGAAACCAGCCTGAGCAACATAGGGAGACCTCACTTATACAAAAAAAAAAATTAAGAGACATTAGCTGAGTGTGGTGGTCTGTGCCTGTAGTCCCAGCTGCTTGTGAGGCTGAGGCAGGAGGATGGCTTGAGCCCAGCAGGTCAAGGCTACAGTGAGCCATCATCACGCCACCGCACTCCGTCCTGAGCAAGAGTGAGACTTTGTCTTTTTTTTTTTTTTTTTTCTTTTTTTTAAAAGATGGGGTTTCACCATGATGGCCAGGCTGGTCTTGAACTCCTGACCTCAGGTGATCCACCTACCTCGGCCTCCCAAACTGCTAGGATTACAGGAGTGAGCCACCGCACTCGGCCAAGACTTTGTCTTTTAAGAAAAAACAAAAACAAAACTTAAAATTGACTTAAATTTAGTTTTTTTTTTTTTTTTGAGATGGTGTCTTGCTCTGTTGCCCAGGCTAGAGTGCAGTGGCGAGATCTCAGCTCACTGCAACCTCCTGGGTTCAAGTGATTCACCAAGTAGCTGGGATTATAGGCGCCGCCACCGCACCTGGCTAATTTTTGTAGTTTTAGTAGAGATGGGGTTTCAGCATCTTGGCCAGGCTGGTCCCGAACTCCTGACCTCGTGATCCACCTGCGTCGGCCTCCCAAAGTGCTGGCATTACAGGTGTGAGCCACTGTGCCTAGCCCAAATTTAGTTTTTTAAAGAGGCTAGAGAAATAAAAGTGGGGAACGAAAGGGAGTAAGAATTAGGGATAAAAAGAAAAGAGAAGCAGATAAAGGATTAAGAGGGATGAGAAAGAGTGAGTTTTACTTGGTTTTCTTGAGAGAGTGCTGTCTCCCTAAGTTCTCCTTGTTGTGTCAATTGGAGAGTAAGTGCATCTCCCAGCGCACTCTGAGACTAGGGCCTGTGCAGCAGGAGCTTCTTCAGAAAGTCTGGGACTGCCCATATGCCTTCCTCATGCCGCGCTGGACTGGGTCCGGAGGGCTCCTGAAGAGTCCATGGAGAGGGATGGTACTGTGTGCCCTGGGCCTCTTCCATGGCACACACACTTCCATGGCCTCTCAAAAGTAGACAGTGGAGCTTTCCAGAAGCTACTTATGCCTGACATCACAGCTGACTGAATGTAGAAGCAGATAGAAGATCCAGCTGACTTGTATTAACTCTGACATTAAAGGAATGTGTCAACATGTATAATGCCATTCCTCCAGTATTTTATTTTTGTTTTGGAAAATAATTATTTTTCATAAAAATGTTAATGCATGACAAACTTATTATTTAATTTTTTAATTTTTTTGAGACAGAGTCTTGCTCTGTCGTGCAATGGCGTGATCTCCGCTCACTGCAACTTCCACTTCCCAGTTTCAAGCGATTTTCTTGCCTCAGGCTCCCAAGTAGCTGGGGCTGCAAGTGTGCGCTATCAAACCTGGCTAATTTTTGTATTTTGAGTAGACTCGGGGTTTCACCATATTGGCCAGGCTGGTCTTGAACTCCTGACCTCAAGTGATCCACCCGCCTCAGCTTCCCAAAGTGCAGTGATTACTGGCGTGTGAGCCACCACGCCAGGCCTATTTTAAAAGGAATTAATACATAAATCATTTTCTCAGTTTTAGTTTCCAATATTGTAAATGTCTACAGTGTGACCCACATCACAGAAAAAGCTCTTTGTGATCCTAAGTAATTTCTAAGAGCATCAAGGTGTTTTTAGACCAAAAGTTGAAGGACCACTGAATTAATGGATAAAGATGGTAGAGACACCTTACAAGGCCTGTGGCATAGCTCAAGATTATTAGGTTGTCACTGCCGTGAGAGAAGTGGCTGTGTAGTGAGTTGATACAGTTGCCTTTGAGGGAGAGGTAGGTCTACAGTCCCAAAGGAGCAGGTGCCTCTGGGGTGTATGGTCTGGAAAGGCATTCTGGTCTCGCTTTGGTGCTATTACTTTGAAATATTTTCAATCCAGGGCACTTTCTGTTATACATTTCTGTAGCTCCAAAACCTGGGGCAGTCTGCCACATGGTCTGTGTAGGAGGGCTGGCCACTTGAATGAATGAATGCAGAGGCTGGCCTGTTTCACATGTGCACTCAGCCCTGCAGGGAAACCTTGAGTGTGGTGAGAGTGTTCTGTGTTGCCTGCCTTGACGTGGGCATGGGAAAGACCATGGCAAGTTCCCATTTGCAAAAAACTAGTGATCTTTAGGTTTGATCTTTGTTGTGGGAGAAAAATGGGCATTTCCAAATAATCCACCTGTTGAAATTACTCTTGGCCACTGCAGTTTGAACTAATGATGGGCCACTGACTTAACTAATGCTGCTGGTTTTTGGCTTTTGTTTTCTTAATGCCTAGCTGCCCTGGAAGGATTGTGTTCAGCTTCTGTCATCTATCACTATCCTGGTGGAACTGGCGGTAAGAGTGGAGCTCGGAGGTTCCAGGGCAGCACACTTCCTGCAGAAGCAGCCAACAGACACCGGCCAGGTGAGCTCTGCCCTTTCCCCAGCCTCTGTTCATTTGCAGTCTTTAAAGAAAGCAGACTCATTTATTACTTTTTTCTTTGAGTTAGCACTAATGTTTAAATAAACTGTAAAATCTGTTGAGTCAGAAATCTTGTGTGAGACATTTTGTTCTGATTTTACTGAATACTTATCAATCTTATTGAATACCACTAATGGGTTAGAATGATTGGTTGATTTCTGGAATACTTGCATAAAATTTCCTGGTAGAATGGACTTGAGGTTCTGTGTCTAAGTCTTTTTTATAATTTTATGTATTAGGGGAAGCTAGTCCTAGAGGTCAATTTTAACAGCTGATTCAGGGCCTGGGAGTGATTTCTTATTTTACTGGCTGATGAAGTTCTCTGAATGAGTTGTTTGATTTGCTTATGCTTGGTAGCATAAGAAAATGAAGAGTGGGCCGGGCGCGGTGGCTCACACCTGTAATCCCAGCACTTTGGAAGGCCCAGGCGGGTGGATCACGAGGTCAAGAGATCGAGACCATCCTGGTCAACATAGTGAAACCCCGTCTCTACTAAAAATACAAAAAATCAGCTGGGCATGGTGGCGCATGCCTGTAATCCCAGCTACTCAGGAGGCTGAGGCAGGAGAATTGCCTGAACCCAGGAGGCGGAGGTTGCGGTGAGCCGAGATCGCGCCACTGCACTCCAGCCTGGGCAACAAGAGCGAAACTCCGTCTCAAAAAAAAAAAAAAAAAAAAAAGTGAAAACATTTCCTGGGCGGAGCAGATGCACGAATGCTGAATGAACATGAACGTTTTGGTCCTTGAAGAATGAACCTGCCTTTAATGGCTCAGGATTTAGTCATCACGTTGCAGAGCTCACAAAGATTGTACCAAATAATGCAGAGCTCCAGGCCATACAGAAAACTACCAGGAATGTTTATTTTATTTTTATTTTTTTGGTCCATGAGATTTTTGTATATTTTTCCCTTCAAAGACCAAAAAAATTAGTTAATGTGTATTGGATGGGGAAATGTGCTGCATTTTTTTTTTCCATGAATTGGATCATCGCCTGTCATCAGCAGAGAATGCAGAGACTGCCTTCATGGGCTAGTGACTGTAGCCACACGGTCTGAAGCCGCACGCCCTCTGTGTAGATTTGCTTAGATGAACTGTAATGATTCTTGAAGATAATTTTATCATTCTTTAGTGGGACATTCCTCTTGGTGACATCTCAGTTATTGAAGAGGAAAGTGAGGCAGGCTGAGGGTGCTGTCCCAAGCCTGAAGTTTAAACAGGCAGGTCCCTGCTGCTTGCTTCCTGGCTGTGACCTGACTCGGATGCACCCCCGTTGTGTTCACCAACTGTATTTACTCCTTGTGATCATAATCGCTGTCTCCGGCATGAGATAGCAGTGGTTGAAGTTTCACTGTTTTCTCTAGTCAGCAGCCAAGTGCTAACATCTCCAACACACCCAGAATGGTGAAAGCAGGTTTAATTTTCTCTTTAAAATAAAGTTTTCTGGGGTGGGCGAGGTGGCTCATGCCTGTAATCCCAGCACTTTGGGAGGCTGAGGCAGGCGGATTGAGGTCAGGAGTTTGAGATCAGCCTGGCCAACATGGTGAAACCCTGTGTCTACTAAAAATACAAAAATTAGCTGGGCCTGGTGGACTTATGCCTCTAATCCCAGCTACCCAGGAGGCTGAGGCAGGAGAATTGCATGAAACCAGGAGGCGGTGAGCTGAGATCGCGCCACTGCACTCCAGTCTGGCGACAGAGTGAGACTTTGTCTAAAAAAAAAAAAAGTCTTCTGCTCCTAGGAGTGCCTGGCTGCCTTCCTTTCTTTCTCTCTCTCTCCTTCTCTCTCTCTGTTTTTCCTTCCTTCCTTCCTCCATATTCCCTTCCTTCCTCTTTCTTTCTCGCTCTGTCTTCCTTTCCTTCCTTTTCCCTTTCCCTCCCTCCCTCCTTACCCCCTTTCTTTCTTTCTCTCTCTCTCCCTTTCCTTCCCTTTCCCTCCGTCCCTCCTTCCTGTCTCTCTTTCCTCTTTCCCTCCCTCCCTTTTTCTTTTTCCCACCTTCCTTCCTTCCTTCCTTCCTCTTTCTCTTCCTTTCCTTCCCTTTCCCTCCCTCCCTCCCTCTCTCTCTCTCTCTCCCCCTCTCCGACTCTCCCTCTATCCGTCTTTCCCTCCCTCCCACCCTCTCTCTGTCCCTCTCTCCCTCTTTCCCTCCCTTCCACTCTCTCTCTCCCTGTCTCCCTCTTTCCCTCCCTCCCTCCCTTCCTCTCTCTCTCTCCCTCCCTCCCACCCTCTCTCTCTTCCTCCCTCCCACCCTCTCTGTCTCCCTCTCCCCCTCTTTCCCTCCCTTCCTCTCTCTCTCTCTGTCTCCCTCTTTCTCTCCCTCCCACCCTCTCTGTCTCCCTCTCCACCTCTCTCCCTCCCTTCCTCTCTCTCTCTCTCTCTCTCTCTCTCCCTGTCTCCCTCTTTCTCTCCCTCCCACCCTCTCTCTCTCCCTCTCTCTCCCTGTCTCCCGCTTTCCCTCCCTCCCACCCTCTCTCTCTCTTTCTCTCTCTCGCTCTCTCCCTTTCCCTCCCTCCCACCCTCTCTCTCTCCCTCTCTCCCTCTGTCTCTGAGATGGACTTTTGCTCTGTTGCCCATGCTGCAATGCAATGGCACAATCTCGCCTCACTGCAACCTCTGCCTCCCGGATTCAAGCAATTCTCCTGCGTTAGCCTCCGTAGTAGCTGGGATTATAGGCACCTGCTACCACACCCAGCTAATTCTTGTATTTTTTGTAGAGACAAGGTCTCACCTTGTAGGCCGGACTGGTTTCAAACCCTTGACCTCAGGTGATCCACCTGCCTCGGCCTCCCAAAGTGCTGGTATTACAGGTGTGATCCACCACACCTGGCCTAAGAGTGCCTTTCATTGGAGGTGTTTAGATGTTTTTTTTTTTTTTTTTTTTTTCCTGTATTTTATTTTTTTAAATTGTGGTTTGAAGAGCTGTAAATGTGTTGAGACTGTTTCACTGATGTGGTGGGTAAGACTAGAAACTTTTAGGGTCACATTTCATTTCTTCCCTTTCCTAATTATAGGCAAATAAAATTTAAAGACATTGAAACACTGCTGTGTCTGTAGTAGAGAAATGTCTTTATTTAGATTTGCATAGAGTAAAAAACTTGGGAACTTTTTTCTGTTGAAGACAGTCTGTGGGGAAGAATATCTGGTGACAGTGACACTTACATGAGAGGAGAAAGGGCAATGGGACTGTCATTTAGAAACTTGGTAGGTTGGGCATGGTGGCTCATGCCTGTGATCCCAGCAGTTTGGGAGGCCATGGTGGGAGGATCACTTGAGGTCAGGAGTTTGAGACCAGCCTGGCCAACATGGTGAAACCCCGTCTCTATTGAAAATATAAAAATTAGCCAGGCGTGATGGTGCATGCCTGTAATCCCAGCACTTTGGGAAGCCGAGGCAGGCGGATCACAAGGTCAGGAGATCGAGACCATCCTGGCCAACATGGTGAACCCTGTCTACTAAAAATACAAAAATTAGCTGGGCGTGGTAGTGTGTGCCTGTAGTCCCAACTACTCAGGAGGCTGAGGTGGGAGGATTGCTTGAGCCCAGGAGGTTGAAGTAGTGAGCTGTGATTGTGCCACTATACCCCGGCCTCAATGACAAAGTGAGACCCTGTCTCAAAAAAAAAAAAAAAAATTTAAGAAGCGTGGCAATGATTTGACTACCTTCAAAGCAATACAGTATCCAGATCTGTTAATGGACATGATCTCAGGAACAGATATGCCATCTCATCTTGGATATTAATCTTGAGATGAGTATCCAGGTTTGCAGTGGCAGCCTCGTCTCACATCAGGAGTCTGTGGCATCTGTTTGAGATGAAGACCAACCTGATGATTTAACATCCTCCCCTGTTGTTTCAGTAGCAAAACAGCAAAAATGCTGATGTCAGTCAATATCACTGTAACCTGAGCAAGTTGTTTAGTGTCTTTTTGCCTCAGTGTTCTTCCTTTCTTTTTTTTTTTTTTTTTTTGAGTCCAGGTTTTGCTCCTGTTGCCCCAGGCTGGAGTGCAGTGGCGCAATCTTAGCTCACTGCAACCTCAGCCTCCCGGTTCAAGCAGTTCTTCTGCCTCAGCCGCCCCAGTAGCTGGGATTACAGCTGGGATGCTTTTTTGTATTTTTAGTAGAGACGGGAATACACCATGTTGGCCAGGCTGGTCTCGAAATCCTGTCCCCAGGTGATCCATCTGCCTCAGCCTCCCAATGTGCTGGGATTACAGGCTTGAGCCACCGCACCTGGCTGAGTTATCTTAGTTTAAAATACAGTTCTATAGTTTCTACCTCTTTTTGCTTTAATTCTCCTTTTGTTTTAATTTTGTTTTAAACTTCACTTTCACAGTATTTCAAAGATTGGGACCACTAAATCTTAATCTGGAGACTTGCATATTAATCTGTAAGTCTATAATTAATGGACTAAACTTATTTTAAAACTTAATAGGACATTTTGTAATTAATCCAAAAGGAAGTACTTATCATGGACTTGTAAATATTTCTTTCTGGTCATTTCTACCTTTTGTACTGCCATCATTATCAAAATAGCTGTACATTATTCAGTACCTATTGTAGGCCAGTGGATGTGCTAAACGCTTCACCTAAGTTTTACCTCACCACAGGCATTTGAAGGTAGGGACTAGTGCCTCCATTTTGCAGGTAAGGGGACTGAGGCTGGGTAACTTGCTCCACATCCCTCAGTGGTGAGTGGCAGAGTTGGGATTTGAACCTGGGTTGATGTGATTACAGAGTGTGTATTCTTAAGGGCTCCTTGAATCAGCCTCCCCTTGACTGGCTGCCTGAAACTCTGTGAGTTCATAAATGTTGGATTTTAGTGGTCTAAGCCTGACTAGGCCTTAAAAGAAGAAACATTGTAAGAATATGAGAGTGGCATAGGTTATAATTGTGCCTCGTCACAAATGTTTTATTCTCTGCTAACAACCTAAAAAGGTAAGATTTTAAT